TGCAGCATTTGTTGAAAATATGAAAAAAATAAATTTTTTAAAATTCAATAAAAAAGATGTTTCTAAAATAAAATCATAATTTTTATTAAAAAGACAACATTTATAACATAAAAATGCAATCTTTATTGAAAACATAAAAAAAAATTTTTATAATTCAATAAAGTCGATGTTTCTAAGATAAAAATGTAATTTTGTCAAAAATAAGACTTCTCTAAGATAAAGACACAATCTTTTTTGAAAATATAAAAAATAAAACATAAAATATCTTTACTTAATATTATTATATATAAAATCTAGAATACACTTATTTAATATTATTACTCATAAAAGGTCAATTCGCATGTTTTATTTGCGTAAGGACAATAATATTATGATAATAATTAGAATTATAAGATTATATTTGTTAAAAATATAAAAAATTATTTTTTAGAATTATTTAATTTCATTGAAGACAACATATTATTTATATGTCATGTATTATTCACATGTCAATATTATGAATGTCATGTATTATTCACGTATTATTAAAAATAATATAATAAAAGTTTTATTAAATAATCTTTCATTCATTTAAACCTAATACAAAAATCTTATATTTTTTAAGTTAACAAAATCTAAAAATCACATATTCCCCTTCAATATAATTTTTCCCCCAAATCACTTTTCCTATTAAAATCTAAGAAGTCATAAACCAAACACTCTTTTTATTTTAATTCAAAGTGGAAGAGCACCAGAGTTTGAACTCTCAAAAACAAGCTTTATAAAAGTAAACAAAGCTATTTTAAAAGTAGCCAAAAAAAAGCATGTACCAACTTTCACTTTAACTAAACAAAAAATATATATTCAATGTTGAGACAAAAGGTAAAGGCACAACGTCTTTTCTAGTTATTCTTCGTCACTTCTCCCAATAATTAATTAATCCAAAATTTTGAAACTGAATGGATCTTCTTGAAGCTTTAGGTGGTGTTTGTATGGTACATTAGGGGGAGAAATTTCATTTCAATAAAAATTTTTAAAAACCCAAAATAAATTTACTTATTTTGATAAAAATAAAAAAAATAAAATTTAGGTAAAATTTTTAGAGAAACTTTTAGGTGCTCAAATTCTCTCTAAAATTCCACCATAAGAAGTGGTTTTTCAAATTTTTTCCAAATCCTCCATCTTTTTATTAGATATGACCCATCATAAAGTATAAAGCTCAAAAAATAAAATATCATCTTATTTAACTCTAATATTTATATTTATTTTTTATATTATTAATAATATATATTTTTACAAATCTAATGATGATACCTATATTACATGTTTTATTTATACATATATTATTTTTAATATCATTGTTCTTCTTTTATAATTATTCTTTATCTTGTTAAATTCTAATAAATTAAATTTCTTTCTAAAAAATATTTATCCAAATAAAATAATTATAAATACTAACATTTTGAAATGATGCATTTTAAAATGTTTTCGTTTCAATTTTTTTTTTAAATTCAAAACTCACTCTTATTGATCTAATCATGGTAGATTTATACTCTTTTTGATAGTATGATGGGAGGATTTTCATCACACTTAAATCTTATTATATGATTGAACATTTGAAAATTTAATCATAAAATGCAACAGTGATACAATGAGAATGGCTCCCACCATCTACCAAAAGAGCCTTTGTAGTAATTAATTAACTTTTTTTTTCCTTTTGTAAGGAAATTCTATAATTTTTTTTTTAATTCGTAAAAAAAAAAAAAATTTCTTGTAGCATGTGTGATAATAGATGGTCCATGTCTTTAATTAATTTCTCTAAATATAGTACTGATTAATATCCAAATGTCAAAAATTGAATGAATACAAATTATTGGTTTAATTAGCTTTTAAATTAAGCCTGGTATCCTGGAATATTCTAAAAGCTCCATTGCCTTAAAGGGAGAGAGAAAGAGAGATTTTTAGTGAACAAGTGTGGAGTAAAATAATTGAGCAGCGGCAGGCAGCCTTCAACCACTCTTTTCTTTTGGGTCATTTTCGGGACTTTGCTTTTTGCGAGAGCTAAAATCTAACAAAGTTGTAACACTTTTAATAACCTAATTCCTAATACAAATTGTAAAAATCTGAATTTCAGTGTACATCAATTACAATTTACACATGCATGTCACATCTCAATCTTACATTTTAAAATCATTAACATACACACACATAACACTATATGCCATTATCATCACACACACACATATATATGTATATATATTTGCTAAGTCATTAAGGATTTTATTAAAAGATCAAACAAAGTTTGGACGAGATCAGGATTCTCCGATCCATTACAAACAAAAGGAGCAGCAGATAAAGCCCAAATCATTAACACAGTTATAGATAAAGGCCCCTTAAAATGGAATTCAGGTTACACCAGGCAATAAACATGTCCGACCGACCCACCGCCACCCTTCACTAAAGCGTCTGCCATCCCGTTTGCTTCACGGAGTATATTTGTCGGTCTTACATTAGTTAACTCTCCAACCAGATAATCAACGGATGAGAATATCTCCATAGTCTTCATGGTCAAATTTCTTCTTTCATTGACGAGCTAACCGCAGTCTTTGAGTCGGATTCAACTATGAGATGGGGGAGCATGCATGAATGCTATATGCTGTATGCTATATGATATATGATATATGATGTATGATATATGCATGCACAGTCATACATGGGATAGCATGCTTTGATTGATTTATTATCATTTATGATAAGAACTCTACTTTTGGTAGTGGGAGAGATATTGACTTGGTACGAAAGAAATTGAACTTTTCACAAAGCCTCTTCTTTTGACACCTGCATGTTTCTTGGATACTTCCAAGCTCATGGTTTTGGAAGCAATCTACCGATCGACCGAAGGCGGTGGCACCTTGTTTTCAGTTCTATTAAGCTCTCCCATAGCCAATGAAATTGGTCTATCTTTTCTTTGTTAATGAGTATGGATAAAAGTAGTAACAATCTTTTTAGCATATAATATGATATAAAGTTCCAATCATAAAAATGTACATTCCCATGTCTCATTATAATACGAATTTGAAATTTTGAAAAGAAAGAAAAAAAAATTCAAATTATTGGGGGCTTTATTTTATTTTTTATATGATACGTTCTCTCCTATTAGTTTTTGGCCACTAAGTGTAGTATAAATATTTAAGGAATGTATATCTGTCTTTATATCTTATAAATTTCATCTTTCCTTTTATAAGATTTGAATTTAAGATTTCTAAATTAAAATTTCGTGTTCTAACCATTGAAATATCAAGCTCATGAGACTAATTGAAATATTTTTATTTATAATATTTTAAACCAAAACTTTATACCTTCGTTACTAATCTTTTCCTCAATCCAATTTATAATAATATAACTTTGTTGTTTATATGAAAGTCAGTATTATTACTTGAACAATTCAATATCAATGGACTTAATTACTTAATTTGAATTGACATGATGATCACGCAATGAATATTGCTGTTTCATGTCAGGTTTTTAGTCTAAATAAGTTGATTTGATACACGTGGTAGCTGGATTATAGTTTAGTTGATCAACATCCTTTGAACTTTAATCTTCCCTTTCTTTTTCTTTTCCTTGATAATTATTTTTGGTGTGCGCGAAGCTAGCTTTATAAACTAACTTTATTGGCAACTGCTACCAATTGGGGTGACTATGAATTAAATTTCCAAAGTAAACGAGGGTAAAAACACAAGTATAGTTTTTCTCACTAAATTTGAAAATAAAATACTGAAAAGAAGAAAACTGAAAAAGCAAAAGTGATTGGGAAAACAATTGAATTTTTTAAGGAGGGTCCAGCTCTAAGTTCCTTTAACTTAGTGGAATCACATCATATCCGGACATTAAAAGTAAAATGAAAGTGGCAGTGATCAATCAGGCTGTAAAAGCCATGCATTTTCCATATTTAATTAAGGTTTCATGGACCTCCCCTATAAAATGATATTAGGGATATCAATTTTATATATATTTAATAGAGAATTTGATTTTTTATTTGAATAGAGATAGAGATAGAGATGGACATAAATATGGATATACATTGTGAAAATAGGAATGGAGATAAATATGAGTATAATTTTAAATTTTTATTGAGTATGAAAAATGAGGATGGATAATATATATTGCAATTGTCTCATACTCATATTTTACATATATTTATATATATTTAGTAAATAGATTTTTTATTAACTACTATAAATAATTTTTTTTAAATTAGTTAAAATTAATATATTTTTATTTAAAAATATATATATTAATATATATTTATAAAAAATTACATAAATATATAAGATAAAAATAAAAAAACTAAACAATAAATTTTTATTTTTATTTTTTAAAAAAGCTATGGATGGATATATCCATACTTATTAATATTCGTGAGAATAAAAATAAAAATAAATTAAAAATATTTATTAAATACGAAAATAAAAATAAATATAATATAAAATTTTGAGATGAAGATAAAAATTGCTCTATGGTTCAAGTGCTCTATCCATTAATATTCTTAAATGAAATGTCACATCAACTTAGCCGCTGCAATTTAGATCTTTCCTGCCAGCTGCCTCAAACCCTAAATTTAGGTTAAAAGCTCGAACTAAAAGCAATGAAAAAAGGGTTAATTAATTATTAACTAGTAAAAGTACAAAAGGGGAAGAATTATTCCCAAAACCACAAAATAAATCATACTTCATTAACATGGCTATAACTCAATTAATCAGTTAATTATTTATTTGAAGGATTTCAGTTTGTCTCCAAAGGTTGTTCAACGTCTACTTTTTATGCTAAAACAAAACTTAAATGAAGAAGAAAAAAAAAACAAATTAATTAATGGAGTTTTAGTGTACTATTTCAAATTCCAGTATTTGTAATTTTTTTTATTTTCAAATCACAGTCTTTTTTTACCCAAAAAAAATGGCTAATTTTCTCAAAAAAAAAAAGTGCTAATTAATTAATTTATAAGCTTAAAATTCTCTTAGTGTACAATGCCTCTCATTGATATTACAATAATTTTCATGACAAACATAACCAGATTTTAACATAAGATTGAAAGAAAAACTGAAAATTTCATGACTCTTTCTTATAATTTTCTTTTATTTGTTTATATCAACAACAAAATTAAAACCCAAAAAAAAAAGTAATTAACCATATGTGAACTCCAAACATGGAAAATCATTAACAAAGCAAAGGCCAAAGAGTTCCCTTATAACTCAGCCATTCTCTTATTTTGCTGCTTCAAATCCTTGTAAAACCTGTTTATGAAATCCTCGGCTGCCTTGTCTACGTAGCCATTGTCTTCGTCCACATCCCTTAAAGGGAAAGGAGAATCCGTTACCCTAAGTTGCCTTGCCAATGGAGTTTGTCCGAAACCTGGTAACATAGGGGAAGCAGCAGCAGCTTCAACCACCATGTTATCGCTGTCGCGGTTGTTAAGCATCTCCAAGACAACCTTAACCGCATTCATGGTCGCCACGTCGTCGTCTTGAGTAGGAGGCGGGTGGGAGCACGCGAAAAAGTGGTGGTAGTAGTTGATAATGCTGTTTTTCTTCTTGGTGGCGAGGTTGAAAGGAAAGGTGTAGTTTGGGGTGTTGCTGCAGCTGAACTCGTACTCATGGGCTGTTGCTGCCGCCGCCATGAATGATGATGAGACCTGGCAGTCTTTGTGGTGGTGGAACATGAGGTTGCCAATGACTTTGGTGCTGGCGATTTTGCCACGTTTGAGCATCAAGTTGAGACCAACCATGAGTTTTCTCTTTGGCAAAATTCCTTTTCTCATCATGAAGAGAACTGCCCTTACTATGCTCCATACTCTTTTGGCCATCACTGGTAGATTTTGTTCCATTTTTGCCTTTTCTTAGTTTTTTTTTTTTCTTTTTGGTGACTTTTGAGAGAGAGAAAGAGGGGAGGAAAAACAGAAGGAAGAGTAAATTAGTATTAATTTGGGTTAAGCAAGAGAGGGTGAGAGGTGGGGTATATAAAGGGAAGAAAAGGGAAGGCAAAAGAAATTAAAAGGTGATTTGCACGTTAAAAATGGGACTAAAAAATTAAACTAAGGATGCGTTGAATGATGGATGTTTTGGGTTATTTTAATGTTTTAAGTATTTTCCTTTACTTACCTTATTGCTTGCTTCAATCATTTTTTGTTGGTAGCGATTAGATGGGCTCAAGCTCATGTGAGCTTGGGTGATGAAAGTGCCAGCTCGCTGTTAGACCTTTACTTACCTTATTGCTTGCTTCAATCAATTTTTGTTGGTAGCGATTAGATGGGCTCAAGCTCATGTGAGCTTGGGTGATGAAAGTGCCAGCTCGCTGTTAGACCATTTTGTAATTTTTTTTTCAAAGTAAGGTATTTTTTAAATTTAAATCCTTAATTAGAGTATTTTTAAATGTTTTTTAGCTATTAACATTGATAGGTATTAAATTTAAGATTAAAAATTTAACACTTTAGTAATTATTAAATTCTATTTCAAAACAAAATTAACTTTCATGTCCACATTTTGTTTCACATTAGTGACTGCTCTCTTAATAGGTCTACGTTCTCTTTCATTCCTTCAACACATTTGGCATTCATAACTTTTTCACTTTTTTTTCAGAGTATCAGAGTATTCATAGGAAATTAGAAACAATATTTTTGTTTTAGACGGATCTCAAATCTGAGACAAAGTGAATCATCTAGGAAATATAAAAAGGAGCAGGCTTCAATTTTCATTCATCACAGAATTTTCTTTTACCACTTTGATTATCACAAAATTTTGAGTCTATACAATGTAAAATTAGCTGCATTGGAACGTGTTTGATTTCCATATTGAAGAAGAGCTTGGTTGCAACGATGGCCACCATAGTCCAGTCCACCGTGTAAATTTCTCGCTTTAGAATAAGGAATAAATCCTATCCATCAGTATCTCCATTAAATTCTGGAGACAAGTCCACTGATTCATGAAGAGAATGATCCATAACCTGAAAATGGACCAACTGGGAAATTGAAGGCTGTGGCTGATAACGTTGCCCGTAAGATTGAGAAAAGCCTTCATAATGTCCGGGAAAGGAAAAATGGAGAGAGGGATAAGCAACAGATGCATGGCATAGTCTTAAATTTGTGAATGGCATTCAAAAACGGTTGTTTCAACTTGCTTGCCAATTTGTGGGATTTTGTGTGTGAGTTTTTTGTGTTCTCTTATACAAGAATACAAGTCTACAATATTATTGCACTGATATAATAAAAAATTCAATTGTTCACATATTTTTGCATTTAAGATTGTTGAAAATTAAATGTTAATCATTAAAATTAAAAGTTCAATACTTGAATCAATATCAAAAAATTAAAAATCCTACAACCTACCATCGTCACACAGTTATTGCGCATATTATTCACATTTTTACGAAATTATTACTTTAAATTTGGCTGTATAAACAAAATGAGTTGAAAAGTAAACTTACATTTCAAAAAGATGAATGAGTGAAAGCTGAAAAGAGCGTCAAATCTCCGGCGCGATTTAAAATGCCTATTTTAAAGGAAAATAGGTGGCTGCATGATATGTTTTGTTCCATTAATATCCCCAACTTTTGGTATATTTATGATTTCAACTTCAGGCTAATTGAACAATTTTATCAAATATGAGGAGGGGTATTTTGGGGAAAGTGATTATAAAAATAAAAAGATCCAACGTTCTCCTTGGAATTTCGACCTTCCCCATGACCTTAAGGAGTTTCCTTAGCCTACAAACAAAGGCGAAGCTACGGCTTTTACACAACAAAGCAAAGTCTCTCTTTTGAAAAAACTGGGTCAAGAATACAATTTCAATCAGTTACTTCATTGAGAGTTCCATTATTTGATCTGTCTGTACTATTGGTCAAAGGATATTACAAAAAAAACGTGGGAGAATTGCACCATTTTTCTTCTTTCTTTGGTATCAATTATCATCAAGAACGTACGAACGTTGTAATTAAGGTTTATTCTTTGCTACAAATAATACTGTTCTTGTTTGAAATTTTTGTATGCTACTACTTTTAAAGGTCACTTATTATTCTTTTCAATATTTACAATCACTCAATATCTTCTTAAAAGTTTCATTCGAATAAGAACTAGAAAAAAATGTTGATTATGTGCATAGAAATAAGAATTAAAGTTCATAAATCTGTTCGCATGGCATGATGCCTCTTTCTTTTTTGATACCTTCTCTTTAATTGATTACAGGCGTTAATGGAGCAAGTTAGCATCCTTCCAATGGGCGATTAAAAGAGTTCAATTACAGGAGGGTCCTTCAAACTTGGCTTTTGGGAGTCTGCTGCATATGGTTTCATGCCTCATCAAGAACTCTCCTAATAAGCTTGCGATATTTGGAGAGACTGCCGGTGTTGTTGGAGACGATGGGATCGACGGCTTTCTTTTTTTTAATCTACTATTAATTAACTTCCGACTCCTATTTACTTAAACTCATACATTACACACTTAAGTCCTCTCGGATTAATAACCTCCAAACGTATATACATGTCATTAAAATTAATATTTAATTCACATTAGCCAAGATGTTAAGTAATGGAAAAGAGAAGAAAACCTTGGTTATGAATAGGGCATCAGAAGTTAATCGTAAAAGTTCGCGAGGTCCCACAGCAAACTAGGAGGACCATGAAGTGCGGTAAGAATTTGAAAGAAACAGATTTTGAATTAAGTAATGCAACTGAGGGAGGCCAAAGGGGAAAGTATATCTATATAGGTACCCAAATGACTGAAGTGGACCAGAAACACACCTCAATTCCATTGCTCACTAATGAAACAGAAATTGACCAAGAAAATGTTGAAGGGGACATGAAGCATGTATTTCATGATGAGAATGGGATTGCACCAGACAGCTTCTTTGCTGTGAGTTCAACTCCTTACGAGCCTAAAAGTGCACCTCATAAAGAATTAAAGCATCAGGAGACATAAGGTAATTTATCACCGGCCAGTGATTGTTTTAGGGGTACTAACGATGCTCACATAAAAAGAATTCCATATAGGCAGAGATCAACATAATGCTGATTTCTCATTTAATCCCAAATACAATATTTGTATCTGTAGCAAACAATAAACTTCAATATCTGCTATAAGGATACTTAATCCGAGATATAGACATACATTTCTTACCAAGTTAAAGTTGAAATTAAATTAAAAAAAAAAAAAGAGAGTTCAAACACATACTGTTGATAAAAACAAAAAACGCTTTGAAAGCAATAAATTTAAAAGGCTATCCAAAGAAAAGACAAAGTTTACAGATGGAGTTCATGAGATTTTTTACTATAAATGAGTAAATAAAAATTTCAATAAAAAATTTAAATTGATAAGCTGATAGAATTTAATATAAAAATCAATAATATATAAAAAAATTATTAAAAATATTTTTTATAATTTAAATTTGATCTATACTTATTAAACAGTAAAATTCTGTTAATATTTTTATTAAAAATATTTATTTAATAAATATATCAAAATTTATTAAAAAATTTTTAAATTTTACACTATTATTCTATGTGATGAGATTTTTTAATTTATCAATTTTTATTTTTATTTTTAATTTTTATTAACTCTCTTTTAATAAAAAAAATTTTATGAATCTGACAGTATAGTAATCATTTTCTCCAAATAAATGTTAGGCTGATTCCGCAATTTTTTTTTTTTTTACAAAGCAGGAGAGTATTTCAAGAGTAAGATAGACCGCATGCTTAAAAAAAAGTTAAATTAAATTTAGAAATTATCACCTAATAAGAGTTGTTGGTTGAGTGACACAAACTTAACTTTTACAAGCAAAGTAATCAAATCTTATAAAAAAAAAAAAAAAAGAATCTTTGCGTAATTGTAAAAGCTTCACAAAAATAACAAAAGGAGGCTGGCCGATCTCAATGCCGAACGAAGGTTGCCCAACTGCCCACACCTCTCCTAGACTGAAAAGGTGAAACGCATAACTAGTCTTTTCGAGATATTGTTGTATTAGTAGGAGTTTTAATTTCACCATCTCACTGTCATATTCAAATGCGGCTAGCCATGTACAACGGCGCCAAGTTTTCGACCCTCAAAAACTGTATATCCGAAGTCCAAAACCAAACCAACCCATCGCCAACTATGGACAGTTCAAAGTGTTTCCAAAGTACATAGCCGCCCAATTGAAACCCACAAATGCAAAGCTAATTTCGTTTTCCAAACTCTTTACAAGATAAATGTGAATTGTTAATTTATCATATTACTTTAATTCTTCTTTATGCAAAAAAACAAAAAAGCAACTTCAATTACTACCTTTCTCTCTCTCTTGTAGGTAGCAACTGCTGCCCCCGTGAAGTTCTCAGGTTCTTATGGTTTAGAGATTGATTCATAAAATGGAAACGTCTTTTCATTAAATGTTGTCTCCAAAAAAAAAAAAAGTTGGCTGCCAAAGGGTGCATATGGCTAGTTTAGGCCTTCACGTGAATTCCGAACTCTCTCTATGCTTTTTATAGATAAATTATTTCAATTTCTTTTTTTAAGGCTAAAGAGTAGATATATCATTTCAACGAACTAAATAATGTGCCTACATGTACAACATTTCAACCTCTATTGTTCATCAGTTTTTTATTTTCCTCTTATTGATCAATTTATTGAACATAAATATAAATATATATATTAATTTTTTTATAAAAAATGTTGCAATAGATACATAAAAAAAAAAGATTTCAAATCTTAAAATTTGAATATCAAACTTATTATATATTATTTTTTAAAAATGATTATATGAATCAATTAAATTAAACTATTAATTCACATATATATATATATATATATAATTTTGACTATAAAATATAAACAAAATTATTTTTATCTTCCATTATAAAAAAAATATTTTCATCTTTCATATAGCTATAGGTTGATGACATGCAAAATTTTATGTTCCATTATATATAACTTTGGAACAGACTTGGACATGAAAATAAGGATTAAGTTTCTTAATTTTTTGAAGTTTATGCCCCCTTTATATACTTAAAAAAAACTTCATTTTTGTATAAAAAATGACTAGGCAACATTGACTAATTATTCTCCAGCTCCTAAGTTCTTTATTATATTATAGTTTTGTTTTCTTTCTTCAACAAACTATAAATAAAGGACGAAAAATTCATATTAACTGCAACACCTGATGATGAAGATGAACCCAACTGCCCAAATGGAACAGTACTAGGGGTGAAGGTGAACATGAAAAACTATCCTCAAAAACTTTTCCATGAAATGACAATGATGCTCTCCTCTAAGGATTTAGATGAACAGTTAGCTTTAAACCCAAAAGCCTAAACAAGTTGGCATTAATTTCTTGAAATATCTAGCATGTTTTTAAGGCTATACTTGCCCTGGTGCATGCAGCTACAGCTACTGACAGCGGACATGTGAGTCCACAAGATCCACACATAATTTCGCTTGTTAGATGCAAAAGAGGGGATTCCAACTGCTATAAAGAGGAAAGTTTCATACACTTAATCGTCTATGTACCACCATTTGATTTTGACAAAGAATCTTCCAAGCTCTTCTCTAAGGTTCTTCACTTCAAGCTCTATTCTTAGTTCAGCATTATCACTTGGTTTCCTACGAAGTTTCCCAATATCTGCACTTCTGGTTTTTGTCTCTTAACATGGCACCGCATGGAGAAGCTATTACTAGCATTTACACCAGGAGCAGCAACTTCCCCAAGCCACCGATACTCTCAAACGACAGCCTCCATCGGACCATATCGGATATCTCTTTCCAACTGAGCAAGGAAGTGCTTGATAATTATAAAGAAGCAGCATCTGTAGTAGTGGATGAGAAACAGCTCCCACCCATATCCGAAGTCGAAGATGCAAAGTGTGAGTGTTGTGGCATGAGTGAAGAGTGCACCCCAGAGTACATCGAGCGTGTCCGCAACAAGTTCTTAGGGAAATGGATATGTGGGTTATGTGCTGAGGCAGTGAAAGAAGAGATGGAAAAAAATGGGGCCAAGATACAGGAAGCTTTAAGTGCACACATGAATACATGTGCAAGGTTTAACAAGTTTGGGAGGGCTTATCCAGCTTTGTTGACAGCCGAAGCCATGAGGAAGATTTTGAGGAAGAGCTCGAGATTGGAAGGGAAAAGTCTTAGGGCCAAATCTATTAGCCCTAGGGATAGAGGAGCTCAAAAGAAAGGTGGGATCGCTAGGAGTTCCAGTTGCATTCCAGCAATTACAAGGGAGATCAATAATCTCACAATAGCAAACTGATGAGTAATTGCCCCAAAGGTTTCTTTTCTCTTCCTGTCCATCTCCTTTTCAGCCTTTGCTTTAAGCTCTTGGTAATTTTTTTTTTTCATGGCCTTTGTTCTTGTATGGACCAAACCTTTTTACTCAACATCATCAGACCTTGAAAGTTTTTTGGGTTCGGTCCAAACTCTCTTTATACATGAAATCAACTAAAGGAGTATTATTTTTCTATATATCCTTGGTTGATTAATTTGTATAATTTGCTAATTTGATCTCTGATTTTTCTTTAGAATTTTCCTTTTTTTTAGGTGGGCACAAAATTCTTCCTTCTTTTCTCCCACCAGTTCCAGGGATGTTTCTTAGAACCAAAAACTTAACCACCCTTGGCTGGGTTTTTTAGGCTGGTTTAAATGCTTCCTTTCCCTTCCTTGTCCTTTCCCCCATGTGTTCCGCTGGTTTTATAGTAATTTCTAGAAGTAAAGAGCTAGGGTTAGCTGTAAAATAATTTCGTGCAGAGCCGGCGTGTCCTTTTCTGCTTCAGTTTACTCGAACCTCGAGCTGCTTTATTACTAGTGCTAGCAAGCAATTGCATCTAATTTTTATGTATTAAAGCCCCATGTATCCCGGGATATTGTTATTGTATGATATATATCAATAAATGACATCTTTTTATATTTGAGCTCCTGCATGTTTTTTCTCTGCTTCAAAGTGAAATCAGTTACGTTGGAGTTCTGAGTAACTACCACAAATGAGAAGAAGGAAAATTAAGCAGATGATGTATGTCTTTACACAGTTGATGTATGGTTTGACAGTCAACTTTCCTACTAGAAGATTTTTTATGCAACATAATTTTAACCGGTTCAACTCTTCCAACTATATTCAACAGAAAAATAATTGAAGCATAACCCTTAAACGAAAACATATTTCTTGTGGACTGAATGAACCCTGCCATACTCTTTTAGTGGACTTGCTTATGGCTAGGAAATTTAGATCCTACCGACTTGCCTGGTCCACGGTCTAGACCAAACCTAACTAAGCTCACTCTCAAATCCTGAATTTAGTTTACAAGCATCCTCAATCAAGTGATTCAGCATAAGATTTCCAGTAACATTAGGAAGTCTTAAAGTACAGAGGAAAAACAGGCCAGAAGAGTATTATAAGGGTTTTACGGGCTAAAGAAAAACAAGCCAACAAAACATAAAACACAGTTCAAGAGTAGTTTTTTCTGGTCCTAAAGTTCAGACAAATGACCAGTTGACAAACATAAAGCAGATGCAATGAGCATTCTCTTCTTCATTCAACACCTTCCAAGCCACTGCTCTCTCATATGAAACTGGTCTTCCCATGCTTGACAAACAGATCCCACCTTGTAGACAAGCAAAACCCTACCAGCAGAAAAACATGTCAAAACAAAGCATAAAATTCAGTAAAATATAGTACCTAAAAGTAAACATTTGGTATCCATTCATTGGTTTTTGCATTCAAAGACGTCATTAGAGACTCGTTACTCTAGTTTAGAAATAAGAATAAAATGCTAGACCTGTTGCATTATCTGTGGGAACTCCGTGCAGAGAGTCTTTCTTCCATGATCATCAAATATCTTCTCCAAAGTTATGTCCTGCAGAGCAACCAGGGTTGTCTCCAGCATGTCAAGCCCAGCCTGATTTGTAAAGGTAAATACGGGCAATGCCTGCAAGAACTACTAGTTTTAGATAAAAACAGATTTAAATAAAGTCTAGTGCTAGCATTTACAAAATAATGAAAATGCAAGAACCAAAAATAGAAAGAGGAAGACAGAGCGAATTAAGTCCAACAATAATTTGAGATTCGGTGCTTATGCAAAGAAAACTTAATGTTCAATGGAAAAATCATATGCGGAAAAAAGGCTCCAGGATCTTTATTTTTCTTGAGATAAATTACTACTAATTATATGAAAAAGCAAGTAGTTTTATTTCGTGTATCCTAAATTGTTAAATACAAGCACTTTTTAACATAAACATACAAGCATCCTCTATCAAAAAAAGGAAAGGTAGGAAAGAGAAAGAGGAAGGTATGTATTAAATAATTTACACATACCTTAAGAGAGCAGCACATGATGGCATCTGAGTGATCCCACAAGGTCTTGAGGATGGATTCACTCCCTTCGCCGCTAGATTTGAGCAGCTCAACACCCATGTAGAGCCTGCAAGATTAGAGACAAATCATCGATGGTTCAAAATATAGCAGCAGTTCCTAGCACAAATATCCAACTTATGCAACATTTCTGGTATGCATGGTATAGGATACATCAATGCAAGTGCGACACCAAATTCACAGCAAGCATCTCTTATTTGACATTGCGTGAGAGATCATGTTAATAATGCTCCCCTTTCGGTTGAGGCAATAGCCTGTCGGTAGCCACATCATATCCCAAAAAAGCCTCGAGGTTGAATCCCCTTTCCCAACTTAATATCAAAATATATAACAATGAATAAATCCATCCTGGAAAGGAAAGGAGGGTTGATGTACCTGTAACTCTGGCAGATCCATCGAGCAAGTGTCTGTGCTTCAGGAGTACCCAGTGGGGTTCGAAGACCAGCATATGAACTTAAATGAGAAGGAGAAAGTGCTAATGCCACCCTCTGAAATGAAGATATAATGCTGCGGACATATTGTCGGGCCATGGATGCTACATGTTCTTGCATGTGACTCTCAAAGGCAAACTCAAAGGCTATGGTCATCACAGATCTCATACAGCCAGAATTAGCAGAGTAATCACTGGATGCTTTATTTCCAGCTGGCCCAATCTCAAGAGCAGAAGCAAGGTCAAGAGTGCGATTTGGACTAGAGGCTTCCTGCATCACTTTCCCATGCTTAATAATAAACTCCACAAAAGATGCAGAAAAGTCTAACAAAAGAGCCTGCTTAACATAATAAATAGATGCCAACCTTCCTAGAATCAAGAGGAATGATGCGAAAACCAGAAGGCAAAAGAGGTGCATCATCAGCAAAAGAAGCATCTATGGGAGCAAATATAAGCTCAGCACAGGCGCCCACAGCATTTTCATCCATTCCACTGCATAGCTATAAAATAATACCACAGTAAATTATGCAAGAAGATACCCCCCCCCCCCCCAAAACAAAAAACATATAATAAGCATTAAGACTTCTGGATTAAATGAAGTACAAAATGTAGCCACTATTGTAGCATCAGTTGCAAATACACACTTACACAACAAGCAGTGCAGCTGTTCTATAAGAAATTTGAGAGAGCAGAAGGGCTACGCAAAAGGGATGTATCCCTTGCTCAATGACACTACCACAGAAACATGCTGTTATTACAAACCAAAAGATATGTTAACATATCCAAGGAAAAGCCCTATTCACTAACCCAAAAGCATAACCAAATAACATTTAATTGCACTTCTCAACCTCTGAACCTCACTTGTGGTGTGTGTTCTGTATGAGTTCCCTTTCCTCTTGTTCAAAAGAATAAAGTGAAAAAGACTTGCAATGAAAATACACAGTAGAAAATAAAGCATATCACAATTCAAGCAGTGTGTTAAACAATGGTGCAAAAAACTCAGTAAAGAAAAAAAGAGAGCTGAAGCTAAAATCACCCTAACATACATCATAGCAGGAAACAACCACGAAGTTGATGAGTAAAAATAAGAATACTTACTTGCAAGAGAAAAATGTCTCTTGGCATTATTGTGTCTTCAGGAGAGTGTACAATTCCCTCCAACTTAATGACCTCTAAGAACTAATAATAATATAAAAAAATGTCACATGTTAATGCAGAAAGCAGAAACTAATAATATGATAACATAACAAATTTTTAAGTACTGTGAATTTTCAATTTTCTTACCTCTTCATGCTCTATGGTATGTGCCAGGGGAAGTATAACTTGACCGCTAAAACCTCCTACTCGAGACCCTTGTGAATTACATGGACCAACTTTAACAGCTGCAGCAGAGTAGGCATCAATGCTGCTGTCTGCCCATTCCGATCTGTGCTCCCGCAGAAAACGGAGAAGGATTGCAGGAGGTACATTCTAAAACAGAAACAGCAGAGAGCAAAGATAAAAAAATGAAATTTATTAACCAAGCAGATGTTATAGAATATTCAGATAATATCATGCTTATGAAATTCCATCCAATAGAGCTAGCAAACAATGGGATTGACTGACAAGTCCAACTAGGTGATACAAAATGCTTGTTATTGTGGAAGCTACAAAACTGTACATACTAGGACAGACAAACACCACAAGCAAATTCGGGGGGGGGGGGGGGGGGGGAGAAGGAGCAGGGCGGCTTGCCTTTGGGAAATGCTCAAATAAAAGGACACAAAAAAGATCATGACTATCTTAGCCGCTTTCAATTTTGACAAAGATGGGAGGTGAGGGAGGAAAAGCCCTCACAAGTAGGTAAAAATGGCATCATGGCAACCACATAAACATAAGAAAGCATAATTCATGAACAATTAGGAAACAATGATATATACTTCCAAAAATAGTTTGCCATGAACCATCAAGACTGAAACATGTGAAGCACCCTCACCTGTAAAAGCATAGATGCTTTAGCACATAAGACTGCATTGTTAACAGATGGAAATCCATTAGCAAAGGAAAGATTGAGGCCCATTAGCTTGTCTGGAGATGAGTTCACAAGGATAGTAATATCATCCATGCCATCATTTCCCATCATCGACCACCCCTCATCAGTAAAACCATTGAGAGCCTCATTAAAACCCCTGTCACGAATCATCTATCAAATTATAAATAGCATAGCAATTTTAACAGGCAGAAATCATATTATGACAAGCACTTAGAAATTAACCTGCTTAACCTCTGGCTAAGAGCTCGTAAGGCTGCTGGTCGTCGGCCCCAACCAGTCATATTAGGCTGAGAAACCTCCTGAGCTATCTGTCTCAGTTGTCGTAGAGCCTAAAAGAAAATCAGCAAATAAGATCCTCATCCTTTTTCTAAAGCTACAATTGTAGAAATTTGAGCAGACAATCCTTCGAACAGTTTCAGATGTTAGTGACAGGAACCAAAAGATAAAAGGCAGCAATATGTAACATGCTAACTGGAAAAATAATCTTACTGCCATTGTTGTCTTTTGAGCAAGCACTGCTGATGATTCATAAAGTGGGCGCACCACTTCTGGCACACTCCATGGCTGGTTGGTAATAAACATTCCAAATTAAGTATCAAATGTCAATAATATCTAGAGTTTAAAACATTGAAGACAATTTACATACAAAAGACAGGCACACCTCCAAATTCATATGATCAACAATGTGCATGATTGAACCACCCCCTTCACAAGGCCGAATAAGGTATCCACTTGGCAACATTTCTGCTCTCACAAAATGTTGCACTGCGGGCATGCTAGGGCCATTTTGAGTATTTTTAAGCGACCTCTCACAGACCTAGCATTGCAAAAATCATTAAGAAAAAAGTTTTTATTCATAATATAAAAGATAGGTGCATCAGTGTCTTTGAATGTTTAATACCCAAAATAATATAGCTAAAAAATATTTGGTACAATGATGAACCAAAAATCAGAATACTTATCAAACCACATACCACGAGGCTTCCATCTTCTAGAACTGAGGAATAACGCAACAACCAGAAGTCACGAGCAGGCGCCAATGTTGTTGGCGCATAGAGCTATATCAGCAAATTTGATGAGATCACTAATTAATAATGCACCAAAAATGTCTGACAAGCACAACAAGGTAATAAGCACTGACCTGCATGTACAGCAGCTCAATGGTTCCACCATTGGCAGTAGGCAGCACATTTAGAACATCCACAGCTCGGCAATCGCGGAACCACGAAGGCTTATCCTTGAGGAGTTCTGCAACCTGGAAGGAACACAGTTATTGAATTCAAAGTTCAAATTCAAAACGAATAGGAAGTCGGGCTACAAAGACAAATAGACATACCCTCGTAGGTTCAAGACCCACAAGGCCGCAGGCACGTGCTGCCACTCCAGTGCAACCATAAGAAATAGCAACGATTCCAATGGAATCCGGACCAGGCTGTTCAAGTCAAAAAGTGTTGAGAATGGATTAAAAGTCAAAAGTTGCTGCTTAATGAAACAATTTATGGATATCCTTATCAGGAACAAAAAAAAAAAATTATGGCTATCCTTATGACATAATTTTCCCCAAAAAATTACATTCTAACCTAGTAACATCAAACACATTAAAAATATATATCATGGGAATTAAGGGGCTAGCACAGGAGAAAATAACCCTGTCAAGCTTTGTAATTTTTTAACTTTGAATCAAATTTTATTGAGATTTTATGTTCTTCTAATAAGAAAAGAGTTGTTAATTTAATACCGAATATTTGAAAAATATAAAGAAAAGATGGAAGAGATACCTTCATTCCAGGCATTTGGACCCACTCTACAGCAGTCCCAGTGGCCTTTGAAAGAAACTCTGCTAAAGTCTCTTCTGCAATGGACAAAAGCCTGGAAAAAAAATACAACCATCAATTTATAACCCACACACACACACACACACACAACAAAGCGGTCATAAAGCACGATGAAAGAAAAGGACCCAACAACCAATAACCCCACCAACCCTGCAGGACTAGCATCTCTCGGCGGATGCTGAGGTGTCACGTGGTGTTGACCACTCGTCACCACGGATTCACAGCTTGGATCTTTGGTAGCCATTGTCGCCTGTAAGAAAACAAACCAACCCTTCACTCTCAATTTCCATGTAACTCAAATTCACCGAAAGTATATAAAAATGCAAATTGAGCTCCAATTTAATTGCTTATTTGTGGGAAGGCAATTGCCATAAGTTGAAATTAGCAAACAGTTAAACTTCCAAATTTCTTGTTTCTACGACTACAAAAGTGAAGTAACTGAAGAGAACAAACTAAAAGTATACAACCCAGAAACTAAAAGCATAAATTCTCACATTCTGAGTATGTTGGCGAAAATAGCCATTTTCATACACCAGCTGTGACACCTGCTTCTGCAACCTATCATTCTCCTCCATCAAAAGCTTGTTCATCGCTGTCAGCTTCCTATTTACAGCTTGAAGGCGTGATGCCTCTTTCCTCTGCTTCTCTCTACATCTAACATACCAAAAACATAAATAGTAGCATGCATTATTTATTAAAATTAAAATCGTATTTCACCTGAAAGGAAAATCTGACCAACCAAGGACAAAATAATACTAAAAATAACGCATTTTATTAGTTCCTTCCTATTCATTTCCAGTAAAACTGAAACATTAAAGGAAATAAATTGCAGTAAACACAGACAAAACAAAACCAAAAGCAAAAGCAAACCTTCTATTTTGGAACCAAACTTTGATCTGTTTAGGCTCAATGTTGGAGAGAATAGGGCATTCCCTAATCACCTGCTGTCTACGAATCGAACTAGGCTTGGGGCATTCATGATAAAGCCTTTCCAGGGCCTCAACCTGCTCAGGTGTGTACCTTACATATTTCCCATTATCCAGGCTCCCAGGTTTACCATCCTTGCAGGACATTGCCATCCTTCAAACTTCACCCTCAGAATTTTGCAATTACCCAAAAACTACAAATAACCTTCCTTTCCTAAAAAGCACACAACTTTACACAACTTTTTGCAACTTTCTTTCCTTATATCACAAGGAACTGAGCAAAAGTACTAAAAATCTAAAAACCAAAGTTCACAATTTTTACATAAACCCACCAAAACGGACTAAGAGAAAAGCGGGGTTTTTTTTGTCCCTCTCTTCTTTGAGTTACTTCATAGCTTGAAGATGAAGAGGACACAAATGGATTTTTATTTTCAACTAGGTTTTCACCATAGGTACCTAAATCTTACAACTCTGGAATTGATGCTTGATTGTGAAATGCTTAGGATAAAGAAAAGAAAGAGAAAGATAAAACCCGAAATGGGACAACGATATCCTGATTGGGGATAGAGTTATCCTCGGACCTTGCTTTTTTGGCACTATTTAAGGACAGCCCAAAAACCAAGAAAAATCTCTTAATATCTTTCGAGATCAGAGCCTCCTATCTCAAAGAGCCGATCTGATTCAACCAACCATTTTTCCTACAAACAAAAAAAAAAAGCTTTCTTCTTGGACCGAGTTACTGATGCCACTCAACCAGCCTTCCGATTCTGAGTCACCAAGACGCCTCCTAAAAGTTAAACGGGCAAAAGAAAAACAAAAGAAGCATTGAGACGCTTGACTTTTCTCTGGATTCAAAGCACCCTTTTTTTGTCTCTCTGGCTGGAAAAGAGATCTCTCCAGTTTAACGCCAAAGAACCATCTTTAACGATACCGCTTGGCCGATCTCCATTTCGGGAAAGACCCAAATCGTACCTAACCTCTGAAACATCGTTTCTTTCTTTCCAGGGATTTAATCACCAAAAACTAGAGCTTTCCCTTTCACCATGAGAGATTTTCTCTCTCTTTTTTTTTTTTGAACGAGCAAAAAAATAAACGGATTTAGAAAACAACAAAAAGAGATATAAAAGAAAAAGAAAAACAACAGTGGAGGATATTGCTGTGGTGGTGATGGTGATACGAAGAAGGTAGAGAAAAAAAAAAAGGTAGAATGGGCAGGGACAGAGTTATACGTTGATGGGATTTAACCTTTTGAGGGGTTTTTTCAACTCATTAGAGTTTGGGATTTTGTATTTTTCGTCTTTTTCTAAGGATTTTCATTGGTTCGTGATTTGGGCTTTTTCACTTTTGAAACAGAGAGACAGACTTCCACTTCACTTTGCAGACTAAAGGAGGAAAGTGGGAGAAATTTTTTGGTTTTTTTCTTCAAATTGGGTTTTAAGCAATTGGCTTGTTTGCCCTTTCGAGTGCTTCGGAAAATTCAATGTCGATGGTAATAGTGTGAAACAGTGAAAGAAAACCTCATGGAAAGCATAAAAAAGGAGAAGCGGTAAAAGCATAAAAACAGAAAAACAGGGGGTAGAGAAAATGCGGTAGCGTAAGGCAAAGGAATATGAGAGAGAATGAAAAGCAGGGGGCCTGGCCAGAGAGGACACCCACATCATGATGAGGTTTTTGCATGCGTCTCGGTTTCAAAGCTCTAAGTTTATTTAATACTTACTACCGCACAAACATTATTTATATAAAAACAGAGAAAGAGTTTAATAAATATAAGTTGCAATGAAAAGAAGACGATGATACAACGATAGGTGTGGCGATGAGCGAGAAGCAAGAAAGACGACTGATGACAAGACTTTTTAGGGGACATAGGATGGAACGGGTTGGGTGTAGAAATGGCAACGTTGGGATGAGCCATGATTTTGTTCATCCCGAGTACGATCGATCTTATATTTTTAATATTTAAATTTAATTAATTTATATTATTTTTATATGATTTGATATTATATAAAATTATAATTAATTTGATTAAATACAAAATTAATAAAATATTTTTAAATATAAATATAAATATAAATATAAAATAATTAAAAATACATATTTTATACATACCTCAAGTTGAGTAAGATGAATTTACTTAAATTTTAACTCTATCTAATTTTTTTTATTTAAAATTTAATTTAACTTAATTTAAATTTTAAATTAAAAAAAACAATATCATAAAATTATATTATATCAAAATTCAAAGGAACGAATTGAATTACCAACTCTAAATGGATAAATATATAAATGTTATGGAATATTTATTTGTAAGAGTATGAGAGGGTGAAAAAAAAAAGGAAATATAATTTAAAAATTTAGTTCTCAATTCAACTTAAATTGATTTTTTATAAAGTTTCTTTTTGTTATGTTTAAATAAATATTAGTAAAATAAAAAAAAAGTAAAGTAAATAAAAAAAAAGTTTTTTAAAGGAAATAAAACGATATATGTACTATTTGTTTAGATAGCTAAAATTAATAAAATAAAATAAAATAAATGAATTTTAATAATTATTATTTGGTTAAATAATGTAAAGGGAAAGAAATTATTTATTATATTATTTTTTTCTTATAACTTTTGGTAATATTTGTCTTTACTATAACATTTACATATTTATGTTTACATATTCCATGTATGCAATTTTTCTTTATTTCTTCATAAAATAGTAATCAATTAAATTTATGAAATTTATAAAAATAAGAGAAAAAATTGAAGACAATAAATTTATTGGTAAATGATGTTTTGTATTTTCAATCTAATTTTAGAGTTCAAAATTATACAATTTTATTTTAGAGAAATTAATAAAAATATAATAATCATTTTATATTTTAAAATTTTTATTATTTTCCTTTCCTTTCCGTTTCCTTCAATTTGAGGTAATTAAAAAATAAGAAGGTTGAGGGAATCTAAGAGGAGCTAAGCATACTTTCTTTTTCTTTATTTTTATTTATGTCATATATAAACAAAGGAAAAGATTCTTCGTTTTCTTTTGTTTCTTTTCCAATCATTTCATTTCTCTTCCCTTACCTCGATCCAAACATAAGCTTTGATACAATGGAAAAGCACTTAAAAAAATTATTTTTTGCATTTTTTCCTGTTTAGATGATAAAAATGAAAAAATTAATTAAAATTGAATTTTCAATCAAATCTTTATCATTTCTTCCTTAATTCTTTCACCTTTCTTCAATTCAATTTTTTCACAACCACCATAAAACCCACAAATCTCCAACAATTTTTCATCTTTCTTTTTGTTTTTTAATTGTTCTTTAATTTTTTGTAAAACCAACCAATCTCCCACCATCTTTAATCTTCTTTCACTCTTTCATTTTCTTCCATCTTCATCATCATTTTCCATCATCAACCACCATATGTAATGATGTAAATATTTTTTTTTCTTTTCGCACTTCTTCTTGTTGTAAAGGAAACCCAAAATTTTTATGCTTAAAAAACTTAGAATAGTAGTTAAAGCTAGAAGAATTTGATGAAAATCCTTCAATCAAGATCTACCCACCCTTGTTTTTAGCAAATATTTGTTTCCAATTACTTCCAATTTAAAGATTCTGATTAAGGGTTTTATCATAAATTTGTTTCCAATTTGAAATCGATATCAAGAACTATTATGATTTTGTATGGGTTTTGGTTTGAATTTTTATTATCATGGATGGATTTAAGTTTTGATTTTATGAATTTGTATGAATATTATAAATATTGATGAATTTTTTTGTTAAAATTATGAAATACTTTGATGAAAGGAACTGATGAATGTTGACAACAAATATTTCTTATTAATATCATTCAAACATAGAAAAATGATTTCCTTTATAGTCTCTAAACAATCAAAAATATTATGTTTTCCAAAAAACATTTTTCATGAAATTTTTTTTATTTTCGAAAGTTGTTTTCAAATTATCAAACGGAGCCTAAATCTTAACTTTTTTTCTTAGCCTATATCCTTTACAAATCCAACAAAATTTTCTTCTGTTACTCTTAAACTTTTTTTTCTCTTAATTTCTTTTATTCCTTCAAATATAATAAGCTACCGAAAAAGTTCTCAACATTCTCATAACAGCTAATAAGAAAACTCACAAGGTCTAGCAAAAGCCTTTTTCTTCTCCGTAAGCTTTCTATTTCCTCCACGATCTCCCTTTTTAAACTTCAATCTCTAAATTAATTTTGTATGTTCTAATATTAAAAAAAATCTACCTTTTTTTTCAAATGTTGTTATTTGGTTCTTTTATTATGTTTATTTTATGGGTTTTTATAAATTTAAAATAGATATGTTTTAAGTTAAAAAAATTTTAGAAGATAAAATGAAAGAAATAGAAGATGAATAGTAAATATATTTGTGTATTTTTGGCTAAAACAAAGGAAAATATTTTTTTTAAAGTGATCCAAATATTCACGACAAGGGTTTAGGTTTTTAGTGGCCTTTTTTTTAATGTTTAGCAGTATTTAGGCGTTTATAAACGCTACTAAATGATTTACGGCATTTACCAAAAATGCCACTAAGAGCATTGGTTATACATACGTTGGGGAAAATAGGGCCATTTCTAAGAAATACCATTAATTTAGTGACGTTTGTATAAGAAAAACATCACTAATCTAGTGGCATTTGTATTAAAAAAACATCGTTAATATAGTGGTATTTGTATCATAAAATGTCACTCTATTTAGCTACGTTTGAAAAGACAATTGCTGCTAAATTAACGGGATTGTATCAAAAAAATGTCGCTAAAATAACGGCATTTGTATAGAAAAATGCCGCTAAATTTAGTCATGTTTTATGGTACAAATGTCATTAAATTTAGAATTTAGCGGCATTTTTTAACACAAACACAGCAAAATTAAGAAATTTATTTTTTTAAAAAAATTTCTTTTAATATTTATTATTATCATTAAATAAAAATGTTAAAAGAAATAAAAACAAACTTAAATTCAAAAATTGAATTTAATAAATACATAATTTGTTCAATTAGGCATGTCACATAAAGTTTAATAATTAGTATAATAACATTCAAACTATTTTAGTATATTCACCAAAAAATTTTAAATGCTTGAAATTGATAACTGCATAGATTTGAAATATTACCATTTGATGAATCATTTTTTCACCTTAGTCACTAGCGTGTTTAAAAACCTACTGAATAATATCATACAAGTTTTAGCACTTAATAATAAGCTATTTTTTATATTAAAATATATAAATAGTTACTAAATATAATACTTGAGTTGGTGGACCACCTAGATTACTTCTTAAAAATTGTTGTTGCATAAAATTCATAAGAGTATCGAATCGATCATGCAATTGCTGAAATTTTGCACACTTTTGGTCTATTTTAGCATGTTTTTCTTCAATTTTAGCACACTCATGTTCTCTTTCTATTGCCATTTACTAGAAATATTGTTGCATAGTTTGCAACTCTTATCTCAATATAAAAATTCTCACGAAAATTGACTTGCTGAAAATGTAAATTGCTGAGAGCTACATCCATAATAGTTAGATGGTGTTGGACCCAATCTAAGGCTTCAGACCCGTACTTGTCTTTCTTTTTCAGTAACTTCTATGAAAATCTAATTTTTCAATTCTTGTATGTTGATAGAACATCATATGCTACTTCAATCTCAGCAACCATTTTTTATTTCGTTTTCTCTTGTAAATTAATCGGATAAAACTATCAAGTTTAATGATTAATTCATAATATGTTTAAAATAGTAAATATTTACTCTCTGTATAAAATAAATGTAACAAATTATCATAATTTCTTATGTTTCGACATTCAGGTAAGATCTGTTTTTTTTTTTTGGGTTAATCGAGAAAGTTTTACACGTCTAATTTTTTCACCCATCTCCATCTCCTATAAAAAAATATATGTTATTGTTAAATACATATCAACCATAACTTATTCATGTATATCAAGTCTGTCAATCAAGTTCAAAATTTTGAATAAGTTTAATATCATGTATTTAATCTATCTAAATTGTTTAAAATAGAAATATAACTGTAAAATTATATTTTTGCCCTTTAACAGCACAAAAGTCTTAAACAAACGTAAATAATAAAAGCATTTTGGCATTTCACACATATCAATCATGAAAACCAAATTCAATTATTTGAACAAATATAATATCATGTATTGAAACCATCCAAACTGTTAAAATAGAATAATAATAGCAACTTTGTATTTTTACCTTTTAATTGCAAAAAAAAGTCCTAAACAGAGGTAAACAACTTTTTTACATATATCAACTGTGAAAGCCAAGTTCAATCATTCAAAAAAGTTTAATATCATGTTTTGAAGCTATCCAAACTATAAAAACAGAACAATAATAGCAAATTTGTATTTTTACCTTTTAACAACACGAAAAATCTTAAATAAAGGTAAACAGTAACTTTTTCACATATATCAACTATGAAAATCAAGTTCAATTATTCAAAAAAGTTTAATATCATATATTGAAGCCATCCAAACTGTTAAAATAGAATAATAATAGCAAATTTGTTTTTTTTTCCTTTTACAACAAAAATAGTTTTAAATAAACATAAACAATAATTTTTTCACACATATCAATTGTAAAAATCAAGTTTAATTATTCAGACAAGTTTAACATTATGTATTGAAGCTATCCAAACTGTTAAAACAAAACAATAATATCAAATTTTTATTTTGCCTTTTAATGACGTAAAAAGTCTTAAACATATATAAACATTAGCTTTTTCACACATATCAACTGTGAATACCAAGTTCAATTATTCTGACAAGTTTAATATCATGTATTAAAGCTTTGTATACTGTTAAAATATAACAATAACAAAAAATTTGTATTTT